CCACGCCACGCCCCGCCCCACCACGCCACGCCACGCCCCGCCCCGCCACGGCAGAGCACTGGTGTACAAGTACACGCTCATCCGCACGACTAGGGGAGGCGTTGTTGTACGTCAGGCGTCAGGGTCGGAGGGTCCGACCAAGCCGCGACTGTATGGATCTCCTTCGCTTCTTTATCCAGTTGGTCCGACATGGTCTATGACGGGACGAGAAATCACTGGTGAAAAGTGAAATGTCGGCAAACAGAAAAGAAAAGCGCGCGCGCGGGCGCGTACTCTTTTAACCAAAACAGCGGGATAGGGAGAGGGAGGCTTCGCGAGGGGCCGGCCGGGGCTGTAGCGCTGCACACGGGAAAGAATGCGGGGGAGGAGCGGGGAGAATGGGGGAGCGGAAGGAAAGAGAGAGAGCATAGAGTTGTGTCTGCTGGAGGAAACCGTTGAAACTGAGGGCACCCGGGGTTTGAAAAAAATGGGCGGGGGAGATAGGCGATCATCCAAAAAGTGCGTCTGCGATTTGCCGTTACGAAACTGTTAAGATGGGCCTAGAAAGCGCCTGAAAGCGCCTGATAGGTAGGCAACTTTGTGCATGCAGTGCAAGCGTGTACCGCGGGTCGGCCTACCCCGAGTATCGCAGGCGCCAAGGCCAAGCTCTCCTTGATTATTCTCGACGAGATGTCGGGTTGTTCTCCCCGTGGCCTTAGTAAGCTAAAGGACACTTAATCAAAGCATCAACCCTAACACCATCCAATCACCCCTTCATCATTGCTCCACCCCATACCCTCTCACCCGTTAAATATAAGTAAATACTGTAAGGCCTACGGGCGACAGCACACCAACCCATGTAAATCTAAATGTAACAATTTGACGTCAATAAAACCATTTTAAAAACTGAAAACTGAATTCGACGAATGCATCTGCAGAAAAGCGGACGTACTTTCTGGGCGATCCCTCGGGGGGAGGGGACGGCGCAAAAGGATGATAGGTAGGTGGGGATGAGGGTGGCGCAGAACGCATGACAACGTGGCACAGGAAATTATGAGTCAGAGAGGGCCGGGCCCCCTGGACCCTGCGGCGGCTTAGCCTCTGGTCGCCCCCACTGGTGGTCCGGGGCCGGGCCGGGCCACCAGGGGGTCGGGGCACTTGAGCTGCGCGAGTGAGAGAGCGAGAGAGCGAGGGGGAGAGAGAGAGAGAGAGAGAGAGAGAGAGAGAGAGAGAGAG